TAACAACATATAATCTCGCATTCATGGTTTATCGCCGCAATGATGCAATTATAAAAATGAATTATTTAAATTACAGAACTAAGGTGCTAAAAAACCTAATACCGATATAAATAAGACACGTATTACAATTAACTATGTTTCATTTTATTGTATTATTTCATATCCTTACAGAAAAATTGTATTATGTATTATTTATTATGTACTGTGATTATAATTTTTATGGATGGAATAAACAAACTAAATTTACATAAGCTAACTTCAATACATTTTTTTAGTACAGGTTGTTGAAACAATCTATCAGAAAGAATTACGCATATACGTTATATAAACACTTATTTTACTACTTTTCACAGCATGCATAAAATGTTTAAAGATGAAGAAACGAGGCCAAACGAATCAATATGAGATTGCCAAGAATAGGGAACAAAGATCAAAAGATCGAACGAGATAAATATTGAGACGGTAAGGAATAGCACATCATTATCAAAGTACGACAGTCAAGCAAACATCTGACATTTCTTGTTACTGTTTCGCAAAGAAAATTACCATTAATCAAACTTATTTGCACTGTTATCATATAATTTGACGAACAGTTATTAGTAGAAATTAGTTTCCATCAAGGCAGGTAATGAAAAATGTAGCTTGAAATGAAAAATGTAACTTGGTAAACAAATGTTTATCTGAGGAATTTATTGAGTTTGATCAGTCTTGTGGCAGTGAAGTGCAAGTGAAATTTGATAAAAAATACGAGTTTTAAATGATGTCTCCAATAAAGTGCATTACTATCGAAGAAGAACTGAAGAAAAATCCAGAACTAAAATTATCGGACATGCAGATTCTGAGGGAATGGTGCAAAGNTCTGACGAAATGGTGCAAAGAACAACCACATCTGCCGAAAATCCAGGACGTGAAGCTCGCCATATTTATACATAACACTTACTATCACATAGAGTCGACGAAGAAAATGGTTGAAAATTATTACACTTGTAGAACTCATATGCCGGAATTATTTTCCAATAGAGACATACTGAAAGAGAAACGATTACGAGATGCTTTCAAAACCGTGTAAGCATAATATTTTTTTATATTAATCGCTGAACAACTTGAATATATACATATTAGTTTTACTACGTATTTAAACACATTACATAGCCTCGTCATAAATTCTATCAAACAAATTTCAATAATTCTTGTTTTGAGAAATTAGAATGGAGGTTAGTTGCACATCAGTTATTTTGCAGTTATGTCAGGACACACAAAATATTAAAAATTTTGTAGAATTATTATGCATTATTTAAAACAGGAAAATATGCTCATAAAAATTTTGGCGCATTAAAAACAATTGGTATAAACGAACGTTTTGCATATTATACTATTCG